TGTTAAGGACTACTTGCCAAACTGAATCTTCAGTATATCTTGCCCGTGAAGATTTCTCTTCAATCAACAGTTCCTCTCATCCAACTCAGCTGAATGCGTTGTCTACTACTGCTTTGGCTAAATGTTCTCCAAACCAAATCCAGCTTGGGTTGACACTAAATGCTGCCACAAAGAATAAACATGGGCACAAGATAAAGTTCAAAGAGATGATCAAATCAAGAATCTCTTATACAAGCCTTGGTCTGGGCAGAAAACGCAAGAAAAGGTCTGCAGCTGCATCAGATGATTCTGTCATTCCAAAGAAAATCCCTAACTTGGGATCTCAAAGGGATTGTAGTAGTACGGTGACAGCACATGATAATTTTGAAGGTGGTCTGCCGGATAGCATGCAAGCATTTGAATTGGAGTCAGCTAGTGAAGAAGTCAACAATGTTGAGTGGGAAAAGAGAGAGAGCCTTAAAGATACCACAGATTCTCATGGGTTGATGTCCTCTAAAGTTGATAGTGCAATGAGATCAGGACCCATTAAACTAACTCCTGGAACCAAGCACATACTAAAGCCCTCTCAAAATTTAGATCAGCCAAACTGTAAACCATCGATTTCAACTCTCTCTTTTGCTGCAACAGCTAGTGCTAACAGGAGTTCAGAATCTGAGAAACCAATAACAATTTACGAGTTTTAGATGTAAGTTTGGAAATTTACAGTTTAGAATTTTATATGTATGTGTGTGTGTATATATTTATATATTTATATTCTAGATCCTGTTGACACTTAACTTTATATGCAGCAGGAATGGTCCACTTTGGTTTTCCTAAAGTCGGGAGTTTTTGTTCTTCGGACATGGACTCAAAAGGGGTGGGAAGTTGTCTGATAAGGTGTGTTTTGTTTCACTTTTGCGTGTTTGAATGAATGAAACTATGATGCTGTAGCTGGCATCTGTATTGTGGGTGATCAAACACTGTTCTTAAATTATGAATTTTTTGTTTTTTCCTGTAAACCTGATAAGTGCTTTATTAGTGAATGACTTGTTTGAATTAGTTCCCATGCTTTACAATTTTAATTTAGTGTATTATCTGTGACGCATGTTATTTCCCACTAGGACTAGTATACTATAGCAAGAGATTTCCTTAAAATGTTGTCTGGAATAGAATATGAATACTATTCTACTATATTATTTGGTTCATAAGGAGAATAAAAATGAGATTATATGAGGAATTATATTCTTGTATTTAGTTGGATTATAGAATAGAAAATAAATAAATATCATTTAAATAAACAAAATAAAATACATACAAATATATACAAACTCACCTACCATAAAATAACAAAATACAAAACATAATAAAAATTATTGTATTATTTCAAAAACAATTCTAATATCATAACAAAAACAACCAAAAAAAAAAAAAAACAAAAAAAAACAAAAAACAAAAACAAAAAGTTCATTATTATTGTACTCCACTCCTCTCAAGAGTATGTTAATAATAAATAACACTAAATATATTAATTGTACCAACAAACTTCTTTATCTGCTGTAGCCATATTATAGTTCTAGACCATATTATATATACAAGTAGTAAACAAAATATTAAAAAGAAATCGAAGAACAAAACAGTACACTACACGAAATTGGATTTCTCATGCTAGTAAAACTAATTATACTACACGAATTGGATTTCTCATGCTAGTAAAACTAGTACTGTATAATTCATAATATTAAGTAAAGAAATTCAAATATTAAAATTTTAATCTTAAAATACTTAAATCTTCATCAGTTCTCAACAAATATTAAAATTTTAATCTTAAAATACTTAAATCTTCATCAGTTCTCAATAACAACCGAAAGGTCAAATATAATATTCAAATAATTTTCAAGAAAATAGGAATATAAATTGCTAAATCTACAATTACAAAATGTGCATCCAATATCCAATTAAATACAGTACAAAACTACAAACTATCTACCCCATAATAATAATAGTAATAATAATAATAAAAATAATAATTTAAAATTAAAAAAAAAGCCCTTAAATTGTTTTAATTCAAATAAATTAATTAAGAATAAAAAATAAATTTTTTTATGGAAAAATCGTGGTCGACTTCTCCATTCAACATGACAAAGAAGCCCATGTTCAACGACCTTCTTCTTCATGATATGGACAGATGAAATGACCGCCTTCGTTGTTGTGGAGAAGCCAACAAGTATTTAAAAAAATGTTATATAGGTTATCACCTTGAGTTTATTGGTCAATTAATTTAATTGTATCAATTTAACAAGTTATCAACTATATTGAATTGAATTGAAGAATTAAATTATCTAATTATATTTCAAAAAAAAATTATCTAATTCCAATTAATTAGAAACCTAATTTAAGGCATATTTAATCCTTTTCCAATGTATTTTTTTAATCTTTAACTATTTTCTATTGCTGGATGTCTGTGAACTTTGCGCACTTTGACCCGATGTTACCAAAAGTCTTGACATCATACAATTATTAACTCAAGTTTATGCAATAATTAGAGACACGTGGGGGCATGGGGCACCTCCAATCCTCCACTTTGGTTTAATAACAACATCAAACCTTAATTATTCCGAAGCTCTCAACTTGTTACAACTTTTTGCATCTCATTAGGCACTTTGGTTCCACTAACTTTTTTTTAATTAAATATATAATCGTATGGAGTAATTAATTATTTATGCATTAATTAATTCTTCAAATTCAATTATATACAATACCTTTTTGACTTTCATACCCTAAAACCTTAACACTCTAGCATATATTATTATTTAAAACATACTGTAATAAAATTATGTCTTTACTATTAAATATAACTTTTGACGCATTAATAAATGTGAATATAGAAATACTTAATTCATTATATTTACCGTGTATGATTATATTTTTCATTCTTCTAAGGTTTATACTAACCCGAATATAGCGGAGTAGGGTTAGTTGAGATTAAAAATTGTGCATGCAATGGAAATATATATATAATTCATTGGGCGTGCCGGACCAAAGGGAAAAGAAGAAAGTAAAGAAAAACTTAAATGTCGTTTTCAGTAACACACAATTCAAAACGTCGATGGCTGGCACATTAAGTGATGGAAGATTAATGTAGATACTGCATGCATGCATGGATACTCATACATGAGCATTGATTATGAGATCCACATCATTCATGCATGCATGATATGAAATGGTATGGCTTATGACATTGTGGAATGATGAGATTTGGCGTATTCGGAACCCTGTTGCCATTCACGTGATGCCACTTCTCATTCGAAGACAAACTCATCATAAACTGGACTTCCTTTAATGGAAAGCTACATACAACTATACAAGTATAGTACCATGTTTAAAAAAATGGTAGAGGTAAAATATTTTTAATCTTTTTGATCAAGGATTTTATCCTCGTCTTTTTTTCCAACTCAATTTTTTTCATCCTTAATTTTAGGAGAGTTAAACTAAAAGAATAACAATAAAGTCATTTGTAAATAATTAAGAGACAAAATGTAATAATAATAATAATAATAATAATAATAATAATAATAATAATAATAATAATAATAATAATAATAATAATAATAATAATAATATAGTTGAATGATAAAAAGTATTGTTTCTCTATAATTTATTTGAGAGTCTTCCATTAATGAGAGTCTTCCTAAAAAAATTGTATATGCTATGATTAATTTGAGACCTATTGCGTTGTGTGTAATGTAATTTATAAAATTCTGATAAAAATAGTGGCCAACCGTATGAAACTATTCTATTATTGGAAAGTATTATTTATGAGATCATTCAATTCCTAGAAGGTTGACCACATACAACTTCTTAATTGCTTCCAAGGTAGATATATAGGATACTATATTTGAGGAGGAAACAATTAGGTAAGGTGGGATTAAGGTAACTGCTCTCAAGCTAGACATAGTTAAGGCTTATGACCGAATGAGAGTGGTCCTTCAATTCTTGAGGAGTATGATGCAGTGGTTGGGTTTTGAGAAGAAGTGAACTGATATAGTCATGTTGTGTGTTTTCTACTTAGCAACATACTCTACAGGCCGGGAACACTTGCAGGGTACGGTGGATGCGGGCCTGCCCGCAGATGGAGTTGGGGTCAGCAACGTATGGCTTCATCCTCCTTACCGACGATGGTGCGTTCAAGGTACTAGGCTCATTGTCACTCCTAATTTCGTACCCCACTTACCTTCCTATGAGCGTTCGTTGTTGTGCTCTAAAGCTAACAGAAGGCACAATATGAGGTTGTACTTTTTTTCTTCTTCTTCTTTTTTTTTTTTTTTTTTTTTTTAAGTGTCTAACATAAGCCTCAAAAGCCTCTTATTCTTTTGTTGCCTTAGGCTCAACAAGCACTAATGGAGTGTTTGGTAGAGTGTAATTGCAATATTTTTCTTTGATAACAGAAATTGTAGTGTTTAGTTGGAGTTCTTTTATTTTCTGGAATTACAATTTATATTTTCTTCATATGAATTGCAATTTAATGAAAAAAAAATAGAGAAAACAACTTTTTTTTTTTATTATTCTTGATTATTATTATTATTACATAATAACATTTTAGTCTTTATACAATTTCTTCCATTCTCATTCCCAATAATTCAATTCCTCCTACCAAAAAATACATTTTAAATTTCTACTTTATTCCACCTTATTCTTTTTAATTTCCACCGAATACACTTTCTTTCTCCTTTAATTTCCTCATCCAACAAAACTAGGGGCGGAGCCACCTTGTGATTGCAGGGGACCTCCCCCCCCCACCCTTCTATCCCATCCAAAAGCAAAATTTATTTTTATTAATATTACAATGTTTGTTTTGCCCCCCTCTGCCTCATCCAAAAGCTTCCATAGTTCCAAAGTAGCTTAAAAAAATAATAAAAATCCCATGCACTCCCCATCCAAAAGTTTACTCTCCGTCTCTCCCCATTGAAAAGCTTTTAGAGTAAGTTTTCAAAAAAATAAATAAATAAATAAATTAACTGCTACTCTTGCTAGTGCGACTGTGCGAGAACTCCGATGACTTCAAATGATTTGTTACCAGGTTCGTCTCTCTGACTCTCTCTCTCTCTCATTTCTCTTTTCTTAATCGTTTTTGAAACTGTGATCCGTGATTTACGGCTGAGCTCTAATGTATGCAACTGCACATTAATTACTTTATTTCTTATTTGAAGTATTATTTAATCCTAGGAAGAAGAAATCAAGTGGAATACAATTACTGCTTTTTAAAGAAAAAAAAAAAAAAAAAAAAACCAAACCAGTACAGCTCGCTCTCGTCGAGTTCATCGCGCCACTGTTTCATATGCTCGGCTGCCTCTACTCTTTTCTCGTAATTCTTTTCCTCTTCATCCAGTTTTTTTTTTTCTCATAAATTTTGAGATTGTTCCATCACTGTCTTCCTTAATTTATATCCGTATCCCTTTTTGGGCGCCATTGAAAAAAACAGGTATACCTTAAAGGTAAAATTATTATCACATGTCATGATTTTATTGAAAGAAGTAGAAAAATAAAGTGAGAATACATGTATTATTATTATTATTATTATTATTATTATTATTATTATTATTATTATTATTATTATTATTATTATTATTATTATTATTATTATTATTATTTACCCAAAAAAACTCTACTCAAAAAATAAAAAATGGTATTTAAAAAAAAATGGTAGTGGGCTGACAGCTACGACCATAGATCTCCCGATCTCCCGCCGGGTTCGCGCCTTGCAATCCAAACTTGCTCCGTTTACCCAAATTCTACGTGACATATGCCTTAGCTCTCCATCTCGCTTCTAGTACAGATTCTTGAACCGCTGAGAAACAAACCCTAATCCAGATTACTTGAACACTCTTCGTACTAGTAAGTGGTAATCCTTCATTTTCCTTGTGCACGCATGCATTTATAATTGTTCTGTAACTGAATATGTACGTATTTTATTCACTGAACGCAACATAATTTTAGGGTTATATGTGCCCCGCGATCAAGTTCACGCTCCAAAATTTCAGATATATTCTTTTTAAAGTCTGGTTTCTTCACCTGATTATTTATTACTTGCGTTGGTTTCGATTATCGGATCGGGTTTCCAATTTGTGGAGACCCGAGTTTCTGGGGACATAATTTGATACCGGGTCGGGCAGACGATTTCATGTCTGTTATCTCGACCTAAAATCTGTAATTTGAGGGTTCCTGGCTTCATTTTTGCTTATTTATAGTTGAGTCCAAATGCATTTAGACGGGTAGCTTAAAACGGATTCTGTTTTTTTTTTTTTTTTTTTTTTTTTTTTTTCATTTTATGTTGTAATCTCAATTCTCAAATGATTATGGCTTGAATATAGTATTCTACCAACATAATCTGGTCTTGGTCTATAAAAAAATGACCTAGTTGCTTTTCAGATGGTAGGATATATATATTTAGAAATTGACACTACATTTATGAAATTTAAGCACTATTGCATTGACTTCCATTTGTTGATTCTAGGTAGTGGTTTAATTATTTTGGTTTTGGAGAATAATGTCATTTCCTAAGAAATTTGGTGGTTGTGGAAAATATAGTTTGCTTGTGTAATTGAGTTAGATAAAGTAGAAAATGATATGTGTGTGTGTGTGACTGATGCATGTTTGCAGTAGTGCTATTAAATTAATGTATTCTAGTTGGTGGGTGCAATAGCAGCTATAATTCAATGGTTTTGCTACTCTCTCTGTTTATGCATGCATTTAATTCTTGTCTGTTTCTTTTACTTATTCCAAATATTGTTTCTCACATAATTAATGATTACTAATCATCCCGCTGGAAAATGAAAATAGTAAAATAACGTGGTTTTTCTAATGTTCTCCTCAACAGAGATCTCAGATAGTTTCTCACAGTATGAGGAAAGTAATGGAGATAGCAGATGAGCCAGTCATCGTCAAGTCTAGTAGACTGAAATCTGATGTGTGGAATGATTTTGATAGAGTGAAAAAGGATGATACTTTTATAGCTATCTGTAGGCACTGTGAAAGGAAACTTAGTGGGTCTAGTACCAGTGGTACTTCACATTTGAGGAATCATTTACTTAGATGTAGGAGTAGAACAAACTATGATACAAGTCAGTTGCTCACAAGGGGCAAGAATAAGGATAAAATGTTTGCTGCGGTAAATTGTACTTTTGACCAAGAGCAGAGAAAGGCCGAAGCTTTCAGCATTGTGAAGCTTGAACATGGACCCATGAAAGATGGAATCAACAGTAGAAGTTTGAACTTTGATAACAGGCAGAGTCGGCTTGATCTTGCTCGCATGATATATTACATGGGTACCCTATGACTATGGTTGAGCATGTTGGATTTAGAATGTTTGTTAGAAATCTTCAACCTTTGTTTGACATTGCTACATTTGATGGAGTTGAGGCTGACTGTAGGGAAATTTATTTAAAGGAAAGACAAAAGGTATATGAGGAGTTGGATAAATTGCCTGGTAAGATTGGCCTTAGTGCTGATACATGGACTGCTAATGGAGATGCTGAATACTTATGCTTGACGGCTCATTACATTGACGATTCTTGGCAAGTGAAGAAGAAGATTCTGAACTTTTTACTGGTTGATCCTTCTCAGACAGATGGCGACATGCTTTCAGAAGTTATAATGACGAGTTTAAGAAATTGGGATATTGACCGAAAGTTGTTTTCTGTGACATTTGATAATCATTCTATGTATGAGAAAATTGTCTGGAAAATTAGAGAGCAACTATGCCAGCACAGATTTCTTCTTTGCAATGGGCAACTATTTGATATACCATGTGCAGCAAATCTTATTAAAATGATGGTTCAAGATACTTTAGAGAAATCATGTGAGATTCTCCATAAGGTTCGGGAAAGTATTCGGTATGTTCAATGTTCTCAATCGACACAAGAAAAGTTCAATGAGATGGTTCAACTTGTTGGAATTAATAGCCAGAAATGCTTATGTCTTGATAATACACATCAGTGGAATTCGACATGCGTCATGCTTGATGCTGCTTTAGAGTACAAAGATGTATTCCTCATTTTTCAAGAACATGACCCTCACACTGGAACATCACTCTCTGGTGTAGACTGGGACAGGGTAAGTGCCTTAACTACCTTCATAAAGCAATTTCACGAAGCTTCCAGCATTTTTAGAGGAAACAAGTGTAATACTGCAAATATTTATTTCCCTGAGATCTGCAATATTCATTTACAGTTGATTGAGTGGTGTAAAAACTCGGATGATTTTATTCATTCATTGGCATTAAAAATGAAAAGCAGATTTGATGAATATTGGAAGAAATGCAGCTTGGCTCTGGCCATTGCAGCCATCTTAGATCCACGATTCAAGCTGAAATTGGTTGAATATTACTATCCACAGATATATGGTGATAAATCTCAAAAATGCATTGATACTGTTTCAGATTGTATGAAAGCACTATATACTGGCCATGCCATTTATTCACCATTAGCTTCTCATGGTTCATGTGATGGCTCTCTTGTTGGTACTGATTCTAGAGATCGGCTGAAAGGCTTTGACCGTTTCCTTCATGAAACATCAGAGAGTCAATCAGACTTGGACAAATACTTGGAAGAACCTCTTTTCCCCCGGACTGTGGACTTTAACATATTGAATTGGTGGAAGGTTCATGCACCAAGATATCCCATTCTATCTATGATGGCTTGCATTCTATCTATGATGGCTTGCAACATTCTAGGAATTCCTATGTCAAAGGTTGGACCAGAGCTAATGTACAGCACAGGGAATAGAGCTGTTGACAGTTATAGGAGTCCTCTGAGATCAGATACTCTACAAGCATTGATGTGTGCCCAGGATTGGATGCACAATGATTTTGAAGGTTAACAACTTACATAATGTTTCTATTTTTTACCAATTTATATTTGATACTAGCAGATGACCATAATTGTTTGTTACCACAGATGCAAAGGCTTGGCCGGGCTCTACTATTTTTGCATTAAGCTAGGATGAAAAACAGTAGCAAGACTTTGGTGCACTTTTCTGGTCTAGCATCATCATTCTTTTGTGAAGTGTGTACATATTTTTCTGTGAAGGTCTCTGCCTCCCTCAAATTTAGTAGGAAAGTATATATTTTGTATAAATACTTTTTGGCCTAAAGCATGAACATGAGGATTGAGGAATGCTTGGTATGGTTTTGCCTAGTCTTGCTTCTACATCCATCTTTATTTGTGTGGTTGTGCATTATCTTGGTGGATAATGAATGATTGAGTTTGGCAGAATTATGAGAAGTTTAAAGTAAGGGCAAAAGATGCTGAATATTGTAAATGGACCCCACAAAACAGCACTCGGGCATTTTACAATCAGGTATGTGTCTATTTCTATGCAATCATTGTCAGCAATACTCCAGAGCATACGTCCTTTGTTTGATGCATTTAATGAGGAAAAGTATTATTCCCATTCAAGAGGATTTTCCATTTTCACAAGCAATATACGCCAGTTTAATGTTTGGATTAAATCTGTAAATCCTCCTAAATTGATTTCTTAAAATTTTGTGTATCATCTCCCTCCCTCTCCCATTTCTCCTTGTTCTTGGGATAATGTTTATTCTGCTCTGTTTTTCACTAAAACTGCAACCACATGGCTGTGCCCATGTTGGGTAAATCATGTGAGTAATGGATGCCAAAGTCTTGGCTTCTTTTTACCAGCTGATTGTGTATTGGTCACCATTCACAATTATTAGGCTAAGGAATCTTTCTTCATTTGCATATCAACTTGCATTCTTATTTATCATTTTGTTGTTTTCACCGTCAATTTGGCTAAATATAAATTTCAATTTTGACAATGTCTATGCGTTAATTTAGTATTATTTCTAAAGTATTTAGTTCACATGTTCGCACGTTAAGGTCAGTTTACACTTGATTATGAACCGGTGTGTATATATATAGGCGCGCTCGAACTAAGAACCAATCACAGCTCTCCACGTGTCCAGATTTAATGAATCAGATATAATTTTAAAAATTAATGCGGTAACATTTTTATAAATAACTCGAACTTTGGTGCAAATAACATGTGTTAAAAGTGCAAGTAATTAGTATAAGTTTGCAAAGTAAAAAGTGCAAGTAAAATCAGTTACAAGTGCAAATATATTACTAAATAGTGCAAGTAATTTACATATTTTAATATTGGTGCACCTAATGATAACGTCTTTCACATTTGTGCACTTAATAATAACGTTTGGTGCAACTAATGGTAATGTATGTGCACTTAATATTGATGCTCAGTGTACATTATTTGTTGCACTTTTAATACATTTTACTTTACTTGCTATTAGGTGCACTAGGCAGTTGCCGCCACTACTTCCACTATAGCTCTGCCCCTGCGTGACTCTCGATTTACTTCTGCACCAACTATAGGGGTGGGGTCCTGAGGGCTTAGGATCAGTCTGTCGAAACTGAGTTCATTTAAGTATTAAAAAAAAAAAAAACACCACAAGGAGGTAAACCAATCTAAGTTATCCATAGTTGATCAATTCAATCCAAAAAGACTTAATAGGTCACTCCCATTCGGAATCAAACTTGAAACATTGTAATTACTAAATCAATCACCTAACTAATTTAGTTGGAATTGTCCCAACTTATATTTTCTTTTAAAAAATATAATATGTGGTCAAAATTATGTCGTATAATTGTACTGACTATTAAAATGTTAGCTTCTTAAAATTTAAAGAAAATTATTTTGTTTTATGAAATCACAAAATGCAAGTTGAATGAAGAAGAAACTTCATCGTATTGTATTGATTTGAACAGCGTGAAATATGCACAGAAGTGCATGACTTGAGTCAAGGGATGAAGTCTATATGTTCTTTATTCAACAGAAGTGCATGACTTGAGTCAAGGAATGAAGTCTATTTTCTTTATTCAACAAATTAAAGTGTACCTTACCTTAATTTATACCTGACACAAGTGATGAGCTCAACTTGTCTGCCTAATAATCTCTTCAAAAAAAAAAAAAAACAAACAAACAAACAAACAAAAGGTGGACTCCTCTCCTTATCAGAATGAGGATTATGTTTTTTCCCTCTAATATATCATAGTGAGAATTAATAGTTTCATATTATTAACATAAGAGAGTACCGATTTTAAACTAAAAAAAAATAGAAGTAATAATGGTTAAAATTAAAATTTAAAGGATACATATTAGGTCAAAATTACATACAATCGTAATAAATCGTTAAAAAAACTGTAGAATCATAGTTTGATTTTTGTCGATATTTTCTCAGTCGAGCCTGTAACTCAAAGTCTTTCTACTATTACAAAGGAGTATAGTTTATCCAGTGTACATCAGACCTCACGCAGTGATTACGAATTTACCTCAACACCCAACAAACAAAAAGACAATGGGACCACAAACGCAACATATAATGTCTCAGTCTAAGGTTGGAAGTAGCATCAAGTATGTGTTGATGGTGAAAGGTGCAAAGAATTCAATGGCAGCACCTAATGTCCTAATGGCCATAAATACCACGCACCCCCTTGTCAGTATTTCACCTCCTAACGTATCTCGCCCGTTGCTCTTAATTAAAGAGAACCAAAGTTGGGTGCAATTCATGAAAAAAAAAAAAAAAAAAACACACGCACACTAATCCGTGTGGATATTATGAAAATGTAGGATATTGTGTGCGACACATCATGTGTGTGTAGATGATTTGTTTGAAAATTTAATAAAGCAATGACGGACAAGTAACAAATAATATGTTATGGGTATAAAGTTATAAAATTTTTAAATAAATAATGTATTTTACGATATTTAATTTGACTTTATTTTTTTGAAAAAAAAAAAGCAAAATTATTTTGATTTTATATGAGGATTGTGGAGATGGACTCATAAAATGTTTGGTTTTTCCATCCTTGATTCTCTAGCATACGGCGGTTGATATGTGTCATTTTTCATCCGTGTTTGATTGGAATACTAAGCTTTTATATGGTTATGAATTATGTTTGGTTAAATTAAAATTAAAATGAAAGTGGGTTTCAAAAAAAAATTAAAATTAAAGTTGAGTGCCTAATTATTATTGTAGTTGTAAATGTAAAAGTAAAATTAATTCACATGTTCAACTATCATGGTAAAGTAAGGGTGTGTTTGGTGCACACATGAGAATCAGAATCGTAACCATATCAGAATAGAATCAAATACTTGGTAATGGTTACAATCAAGGAAGCATTTTCATGGGCCAAAGAACGTTGCTATCAGAAGGTGGTCATTTTTTTTTCAGATTGTCAAGTGATATGTAATTTGGTCAATGGTTTTTCCATTGATTATTCTTTTGCGGGCTGCGTTATTAGTGGTTGTCGAGATCTAAAACGACACTTTGATTCAGTGTCTATTCGGTTTGTTCCTAGATCAGTGAATAGGCTTGCCCATGCTTTGGCTAGGGATGCCCGTTCTAGTACTGGTCCTTCTATTTGGTTTGATTTTGTGCCTTCTTGTATTAGATCCTTGATTTAATAAAGTATTGAGTTTTCCTTTTAAAAACAAACAAAAAATACTTGGTAATGGTACGTATAAGTTTTGGTGAAAGTATTTTGTATTTTTGGTAGTAGGGTGAAATTCGAATGATTACCAATATCGATGTTTGGTTATGTATGACCTTATAATCAGAAAAAATAATTTAAAAATACAAAAACAAAAGCTCAAGTCAATTGATCCTAATATACTGATATCCAAAACACCAATAATCCAATATGAACAAAAAAAAAAAATCAAAACAAAAATCTAAAAGCACTAATTCAAACTTAAAAATCATTTTAATTACCAACAAGATGGAATGACGTACATTTTTTTTAATTAGGGAATATAGTTTTTAATTGAAGGGGTAATCAAATCCCATAGTTGTGCATTCAAAAAAAATTCCATAGTTGTGTTTTACAAAGTTATCAACCAAACACTAACTATGATTTTAATTCTCATTTATTATTGTGTGTAAACCCATGAACCAAACACACCGTAAATGTTTTTATAATATCCACTTGCCAAAGTTCCTGAGCTTATAAGATAGTGACGAGTTTAGGTCAACCTAGGTGTTGGTTGATATGATCAACACCCAGAAGAGCAAGTGCCACAAATATATATAATTGAGTGGAGGGTAAGGAGAACAAGCAAGAAAATATGGAAATGAAGGGAGATGTGTTATTTGTCTAAGCCAGAGTTTTCATGAGTTGATTGGAACTTTCAGTCAAAATGGTGTTGAAAGATACGGAGTAAGTATTATCTGGTCAAGAACTTGCTATACAACTCTCAAGTGTGAATTCTCCTCCCTCTTTCTCATTAAATAAGAGGGTATTTATATATACTAGTTTCATTACGTTAATTAAGAAGTTGATTTTGAGGGGGCCATCATTAGTCCTAGTACATCATCATTACTTGTCAAAATTACATCTTAGACTGAATAACTTTCCCTATAAGTATGTATTTGACATTATCTCTCAATGCGGTCACCTTCATCGCGTTCTAAATTTGCTGACTTTTTTCTGAGTATGGTCCCTGTTGGCGGCCCGGAATCTAGTTGAGAACTTCTTTTGGGCACCTCCTTTTCTTATTTTTGGGTTGGGTCGTGTTTGGACCAATCATATTCGTTTCGTTTTATCTATCAAATAATAATTACAAATAAAAGTTTATTAAATCACACTTTTATTAGTTTTCCAATTGTAAATGTGGTGTAGATTTAGTTAGTCAATAATTTACCATGCATATTTAGACACTAGGTTTTGAACTTATTTGGTTCTTGAGGTGAATATTTCTTAAAAATTACAAGGACCCCACATGACGAAAAGTTGAGTGACTAATTAAAGCTACACCACAATAATAATTGAAGTATTAAAATAATCATTTTCTCTATAAAAAGTTCATATTAAATTCCTTCCATTAAAGATTAAAAAAAAAAAAAGTTAATCCCGTCATAGGTCCCTTATCTTTAGTAACAATTTTGAATTTAGTCTTAGATGATCGCTTTTGTCATTTAACATCCTAGACTATTATTTTTTGGACACTTTTAATCATTCTCAACACTTTTTCTATTTTTAATAAGGACATTTTTGTCTTTTCATATTTTTCTTTTGTTATTTTTCCAGTTTCAATCGGTTTAGTTGGTTTAGAACTTTATGTAACCTCTGATTTTTAATAATCATATTTTTCAACTGGATTTTAGTAAAGTCCTAA